GACTATCTTTCTTTGTATCCCTAGTAATTAGCATAGTCCCTGGTACATAGCTGTTTATTGAATCATTTAGTTTGATTTTCACTCTCGTTCCTTCTAATCAGTCTTCAAATATGCTTGACTAACTTCTTCCCCATTTTGATTAGTACCTAATTTTGCTATCAGTGCTTAATTTTACTCACTTTCCTATACCATTAACTCATAAATTTAAGTTAATGCCTCCTATTAAAGGGACTAGATTTTATTCCAGTCACTCATTTTTGAGTAATCAATTCGAACATAAGATTTTTTTAAAACCATAATTAAAGCACAATTGCAATTGTATGGTTTGACCTTAAAACATTACTTGTATGTTAGGCATACTTGTGTGTGCTTGATCAACTTGGACATTTTATAAAAGGTCAAATAGAACTTCTTTAATGAATTTTCCCTGCTTCAGAGGCCTGGAACTCTATAAACTAATAAGCATATAAATTCTTGTCTGACACATCTCATGGAGCTATTGGAATATGGAGTATCAGAAATACAGGAATGATAAATCAAATCAAGGACCAAATAGTACTTAGGGTACCAACAAATGTCTTCTTCCCTGTTCTGGTCCTTCATGGATTTCTATAGCTATTGCATTCTTGGCCCCTACAATAATACAAAGTAGAATAGAGATTTGATTGGAGGCTTAGGGCAGAGAAATGGAGCTTTGACATATTCTTCCTTGTGCTCTTACAGTTCATTTAGGGACCATTTACAGGGAAATAAACCTGAGTGATGTGAATAATATTTTAAAAATAAATTAAATCATCCACAGCAACCTGTACTGGACTGACTGGAATAGAGAAGGACCTAAAATTGAAACGTCTTCTATAGATGGAACAAATAGAAGAATTTTGGTGAATAAAGACATTGGACTACCTAATGGTTTAACCTTTGACCCTTTCTCTAAACTGATTTGTTGGGCAGATGCAGGTAATTTTACTTACTACAGATAACATGCAAATACCTAACCTTTGACTGCAGTGTATTTAGAGCAGTGGGCTAGATTTCATTGTTTTGATTTTATGTTTAACCAGTAGGCAAAGTTAAAGTAGGTGTATAACACAGAATAAATTTTTCCAAAGTTCTTTCTAGTCCTCCCTGGGAAAGCCCTGGATGCAAAGGTTGACTTTATTTTTCTGTAGTAATATTACCACCATGTAAAAAGCAGGTCTTGTTCAGTCATGCCCACCCTAGTCTCTGATCCAAAAAACAAGAACAAGTAAGTATTTCTTCTTTCTTGGTATTTCATTATTATAGATCATAATCCATTTTAACTCTGTTCTAAGATGATCCTTTGCTACGTGTTTGGATCTATATTAAGCAGGTTGGGGCTTTAGAGTAGAGTCTAAACCCCAGGGGAATTTATCATCTAAATCAGAAGATAACTCAAATGAGATACTGTAAGATTCAATTATCCACAACTGAATTAAGGCCTTCCAAAGCAGATTAAAGATTAAATTGGGATTAAGTTGAATTATTAAATTAAGTTGGGATTGAGATTTTTCATTGTTTAATCTTTGAACACTTTTCCTTTTCTAAGATTTATTTTTATACTATCCAAAACTATATTGAAAATAAGATGAATATTTTCCCTTCTATTTTGTTTCAAGCCAGAAAAAAAGCAAGCCATTTAAAAATTTAGGTTTCATTTTTGCTTCATGTATGTTTTATAAGCATGTATATATTAAGGCATCCATTGCTCACAAACATTCGTATTATCACATAAATGGAAAACAATCTTTTCAATAGTATTTATGTTAATGTGCCTTAGGAGTACACAAACTCAAATTTAGATTGCTTATATAATTTCTTCAAATCAAATCTGACTCATCCTTGTGTAAGGGAACCATAGTTTAAATATAAAAATGCTAACTAAAGTGCTATTGAAGTATTCTTTTTGGATTAATAAAATAGAACCAAGAGTTGCTGTTTATAAAAAAGGCAAAATGCTACAATTATTTTGATCTATTTTTCTTCACCAAGACTCCATAATTTTCAGGGGATAAAAGGGGTGGGGGGTTTTGTCAATTTCTTGAAGCATGAAATGTATGACATTCTTTAATTATGGTTTCTAATCTTTTTTCCCAAAGGAACTAAAAAACTGGAATGTGCATTATCAAATGGAACTGGAAGGCATATAATACAAAATAATCTGAATTATCCCTTCAGCATTGTTAGCTATGCAAATCACTTTTATCATACAGACTGGAGAAGGTAAATTGAAGACCATAATGAACAATCTTGAATTTAAGGGAAAAATCAAAATAGTTTAGAGTTATTTTACTCAACCAACTAGATCCATTTCATCATTGGCTTTTTTATCAGTACCATGTGCTCTAGATATATATAGTGCAGCTGGAAGAGCACAGGATTAGGAGTCAGGAGAACAAGGTTGATTGAGTTCTGACTCTGCAATTAACTTAATTTCTTTAGGCATATTTACTCATCTGTAAAATGAGAGGAAGTAGAGTGCTGACTTTGGAGTCAAGAAGAATTGGATCTAAGTTCTGTCTCTAACACATAAACTGTGTGACAATGTGCATCAATCATTTATTCTCTCAATACCAAAGGCATTTATAATACTATTCATGTTGGTTGCAGATAGGAACTAGTTGGATGGAAAGAATTTCCATGATGGGAGTTGTCCACACATAAAACCACAGGCTACCACCTCTCTTTAAAATCACTCCCACTCCTAATAAGCCCACAATTTGTTCTAAGTGCTATTTTAAAGGTATTGTTTGTTTCATCTTAAATGTTAACAGTATTGAAGCTAGATTAACATAGTGTTACACTGTAATTTAAAGGATAAACTAATGAATTTTTTGAGAGGTGACAATGCTAATTTCAGTCTCAAGAGCATATAGACCATAGCATAAATCTTAGGTGGTACCACAACAGAAAATACATTTCTGAAATTTTTCTTATTGAAGTTACATGTAACTTTTAAGCCAATAAATTTGACTTTCAAAACTTCAAGATTCTCTAGTTTTAATCTATGAAAACTGAGCTATTTTCTACTGATAACTACAATTATTGGTCCTTGTTCAAGACTTACAAATTCCTCATGTTTACACCAATATTGGAAACTACAAAAAAAGCACAACGGCCACCTTGTAGAAAACACAGAAGAGACAAATACAATGCTATTATGCTTTTAAAAAGCATATAGTAAAAAGACTTCTGATTTTGAAGTACACTTAATAAAAATTGTGACTATGTAATACCAATTTTTTAATAGCAATTTGGGGGAATTTATGTTGTATCGCTGCCCTGGTACAAAGCCAAGAGAAGTCTAATATTTTTAAGTAAAGAGTATTAATATTTTCTTTGGATAATTATCTCAAATTTTGTTTACTCTTTCTTTAAAAGCATGAGACTGACATACAGGGTATAGATTTGTAGTTTATATAATTCTTTTTGCTTTAGTTTGTAAATAAAAGTTTGTGTGTGTATGCACGCACATGTGTAAGTCCAAGAAAAATCTGGAGTCAGCCAAAAAAAAAAATCACGAGATTGGTTTGAATTAACTAAAACATCTTTATAAGGATCAAAACTACCTTGCTATTTAAACCAACCCTTTGCCAAACCAATCTCTTCCGTGCCATGAGCTAAAATGAACTTTTTATACATAAAAAGACCTGTTTATTTATCCTTTCTGTTCCTAGGGATGGGGTTATAGCAGTAAATAAAGATAATGGCCAGTTTACTGATGAGTATCTTCCAGAACAAAGATCACATCTTTATGGAATAACTGCAATTTACCCTTACTGTCCTAAAGGCAAATGAACAATCTAGAGGTGAGCATCAAGGTCTCATTTTGTAAAACAGAGATTTTATCAAAGATGATGCATAGGAGCTAACTTTCTTGCTAGATATGCTGTTTGCTCCTGGAGTCCCATCACCCCACCAATGTGAGAGCCACTGGTAACCATAATAGTACACATGATTACAAGTCCCACTGCCATGAAAATTTGTAGCTATGCAATTACTTATTAATAGTCACTGAATCTTCCTTCTTGGCACACTACATGAAAAGGGGTCAGCTTCCCTGTATTTCTCCCTTTAAATCCCTGATAAAAACAAGAGTAAGAAAATAACTTTTTCCCCTTCCCTCTTCCTTCTCCCTACAGGAACAAAGTAATGAATTCTAAATAACAGAATTTTAACTCTGAAGACTATTTCCTACCAACAGTTTTGGAAAGTGAAGAAAATGAAAAAAACAGAATAAATGAAGGCTACTGCCAGTTTCTGGATATGCCACAAAATGACCTTTTAGAGGGCAAAGATTAGTAAGTGTATTCTGGGAAAGTTTTATACCTCAATCTTTACTACTGTATTTTCTAAAAACAAAAAAAAAAATAATTGATATTGATAAGGAAAAAATAAACTCCATTAAGTGCTATGAATAGAATTACTTTTAAGGTAAAATTCCTTAAAGAAAAATCAGTTAAATTTGAAATTTAAAGAATTTAAAGAAAAGAAATTTAAATTTAGATCAATTTTAGTTATAGGTTCTTCTTGGCTAAAAGAGTATTTTAACTAAAATATGTATTTAAAGAAGAAAATATAGTCCTAAAGATCACAAATGTCAATCACAAGCCTTGAAGAGGCTATGTAAGTAACATTAATGGGAAAAACCAATGTAATAAAGATTTTTGAAGTTCTAAATGTTGTCTTTTTACCTCACCACCAGTGAATTTCTTTTAGTATTTATATTAGAAGGTGCTAGAATAATTCAGTTTGTATTTTATAGTTCTTAAGTGCCTATATACCCATACTAGAAAGAATTACATTCATGTATACTTATAAGATATATTTCTATTCAAAGGTTCTGGATTACTTTAATAAAAACATTTAAGTTTTACTATCAGTGAGACAGTGTTGTTTATGACAAACTCAAGAATCATAATAAATAATATAATTTTAAATTCAATGCAGTCTCAAATATATAATCAAATCAGAACATGTCCATTTTTTTGATCTTTATTAAACAGAAAACACAATAGTAAGAATTCAAAATTTTCTGTTATTTTCCCTCCCCAGTCACATTTGACTGAAAATATATTGCCACAGTTATGCCAGAGTTCCTAGGTGTCCTAAGTAGATGAGAGGCTGTAATCCTAAATTTTTTTATCTTCCAACTTTTCCCAATCTGTGGTCTGTCTTTGGATCAGCGATAATTGCTTGAACAGCTACTATGGCTTCATTAATTTTTGTTTGTAGTTCTCTGAGTTCTTCTATATGTAGCAATCGAAGAATTTGGGCAGCTTCATTAAGAACAGCATCTATTTTATCATGAGAGAAAATATTGCATTGACATATACATAAGTAAATTATGTTTAAAATTACAACCTCCTAAATCATCTCTGAACATAATTTCAATCAACGTTTTTAAAAGTTATCAGACATGCATTAAAATTTGAAGACTAATTTTATGTCAATATTCTATATGCTTACAAAGAAACAGAATGGTTTATTTATGTCAGTGGATAATATGAAATCACTTTACAAAATCAGACTACTTATAGGATTGTGACTCTAGAGGTGGACCACAGAGTAGTCCAACCCCCTCATTTTACAGATAAGAAAACTGAGGGTCATACAAATTTATACTTGACTAGTTAGGACAAGCTCTTTAAAAAATAGCACTTACCTCCTGTATCAAACCCAAGGATATGCTTATCTAAAGCAACAGGTAAGCCCTTTAAAGAAAAAAAAAACCAGACAATAAGAAATGCTATTCTTATAATTAAGAAAAACATACTACTTAAAAAAATAAGGTAGAACTGACTCAGCTCAACAACATGGCACACTGCCCATTTCTGTACATGATTGCAACATTTTTCTTCCTTTATATTGTTACCACTCTAAAATGGGGGATTGGGAAGGATTAGAAGGTTTATAACGCAAGCTTCTTTGACTTCATTTACTAACATGGACTTCCTCCAAGAGTAACTCATAGCAAACTAAAATTACCTATTGCTGCTCTCCTATTATTTTTTAAATTCTTAGTCAAACCAAACAATAACTTTGGTATTGCTTCAACTCTGGGGCTTCCTCCACCTTAAGAATCAGCTGAGAGAAACAAAGAAGAAAGAACAGAGAAGATTGTGGAGTCAGCTTGGGTGGAGGTGAACTAGTCACTCCTTTAATTTAACCCTTTTTCTGCACACTGTCAGCCTAGATTATTGCAAAGGATAGGTTAAAAAAAGTTTAAAAAATGGGAAGAGGGATAAATTCTATGGTGATACAAATTTTTGGATGTTTCTTCTAAAAATATAGAGAAGGACGAAAGAGGGTAGAGTAATAGAAAAGCAAACACAGAAGCTATTATTTAATTTTAATTTGACCTATTATTAATATTTTCCTATTCATTTTGGTGCCAGTAAAAATATTTGATGTAAAATCTACCGAACAGATTGAAATCTTGTTTGTACAACTATGTAATGATCTTTACAAAAGAAAGCTAGAGAGAGACATAAAGACATGGTAGAGTAATGGTGTACTTAAAATGTAAGACAGGATTTGATTGTTTAGTATTAGATTTTAGCCATTGGTTCTGGCTAATTATAAGAGAGCAATTAGCATAAGGGAGGAAAAAAAGCTTGAGTAAAGTAAAAAAACTAATATTAATTGTCAAAGATGAAAAAGGTTATAGGTTATCAATGAAGTTAATTTAACAATATGATTAGACTAGACTTTTACATATTAACAAAAACTGAATAGATTCAGTGCTCAGTTCAGAAAGGGAATGTGAATGGTCCAGACTGCTTGAGCAACTAATTTCTTTATATAGTTTCAGGGACATTCCCACTTTCCATTGTCCCCATGCCCATCATCAACAGCCACCTTTTATATATTCTGCCTTTGCTTAGCTATGCATGGGCAATGGAACTCATTTTTTTCACTTGCCCTTCACACATGAGTATGTGTGAATGTGCACACAATGTGAATTTTAATAGAAGATGCCATGAGCATCTTATAATGAATAAATTATATAACTAAAGGAATGTGAAGAGAAATTCTTTAGAAAAATGTGATTAGGCCCTGATATTTGGTTACTTCAATTGAAGGTGGGAAAAGTGAGGATGTGAATAAATACATGGAAAAGCATGGTTCAGGAAAAAGAAATGACAGAGATAAAGGACTCACAGATTATATAAAAAAGCTTCACATCCTTATATCATGTACACTTTCAAAAAAGAAGTGGTAGGCACTGGAAATAGCAAGCACCTTCTTAAATATGGAGTGGGTATTCTACAGAGCACAGAAGAAAGGGTGGAAAGAACTTGGACATTTGGAGGGACAAGGTTGAAGGGGATGGGAATGGCTGGGGAGGGGATACAGGGTTTACACTTCAGCAGCCAGGGATTCAAACTCACTGAGACAAAGAATAATAGGGGATATAAATATTATTTGAGCAATAACTCTAACCAATTATTGAAAAGATATTTAATGAAAAGGCAAGAGATAAAACTGTTCAAAGCCCTTTTTTGAGGTACAGCCCTGTGGCAGGTGGTGGTGGCACGCCCCAGAAAACTTTAAGAAATCCATCTCAGAGTAGACAAGAGCAGGTAGAGCAGTTACCTAAGAGAGTTAGTTAGGAGGCAAAAGGTTGTAGAAGAAAGTGGGTTTGGTCTAGGGATGGTCTTTGAAGATCAAATGTGAATGGGATACAAGCCCAACAAGAATTCCTCAAAGAACTAAAAAATTATTTTCAAAATCAAACAAGAGTAACAGAGAAGAAATTAGGTAAATAAATAAAAGCAAGGAAAGAAAATTATGAAAATATAATTTACAGTGTGGTAAAAGAGGCACAAAAAAAAACACCGAAGAAAGTAACACCTTAAAAAAGAGACTGTCAAATGGGAAAAGCACAAAAGCTTACTGAAGAGAATCATTCCTTAAAAAAATCAGAGTGACTCCATGAGATGACAAGAAACAATAAAACAAAGTCAAAAGAATGAAAAAATGTGAAATATCTCACTGGAAAAATAACTGACCTGAAAAACAGATCCAGAAAAGATAATTTAAGAATTATTGGACTACTTGAAAGCCAAGAAATTATCAAGGAAAACTGCCCCATAAAGGAAAACAAATAGAAAGAATCCAAAGAGATCCCAAAGTAAAAATTCCCAAGAATATTAGAGCCAAATTCCAGAGTTCCAAGGTCAAAGAAAAAATACTTCAAGCAACCAGAAATAAACCATTCAAATACTGTGGAGCCACAAGTTCGGGATCACATAAGATTTAGCAACTACCATGTTAAAGGAACAAAAAGTTTAGAATAATAATCTGGTAGGCAAAAAGAGCTGGGATACAAAAAGAATAACCTAGCTAGCAAAACAATTTTCAGGGGGAAAATGGAAATTTAATGAAATAAGAGGATTTCCAGGCATTTCTAATGAAAAAATCAGAGGTGAATAGAAAATCTGACTTTCAAATACAAAACTCAAGAGAAACATAAAAAGGTAAAGATGAAAACGATCATAAGAGACTCAATAAGGTTAAACTCAATATCTTTCAGTAAAAGAAGATGAGTCAATTATGATGGCATGATGTAAAAAAAATTGGATAGGTGAAAAAGAGGGATGCCCTGGGAGATATAGGAAAGGTTGAGGAAGAATGGAGAGAACTAATTCAAACAAAAGAGGTACACAAGGAAGACGTTTTATACTGAAAGGGAAAATGGTGGGGAAAGGGGCTGGCAATGCTTGAAACTCACTCACAAATAAAGCCACATAAATCATTAGCGTTTTTATTTATTACCAAGAAAGCCCACAAGCAAGAGATAGAAAAAAAATTCCATTTAAAATAACTGTAGACAATATAAAATATTTGGGAGTCTACCTGCTAAGACAAACCCAGTAACTATATGAACATAACTACAAAACACTTTTCACACAAAATCAGATCTAAACAATTGCACAAATATCAATTATTGATGGGTAGAATGAACTGATGTAATAAAAATAGCAATCTGCAAATTGAGGGGATGCCCATCAATTGGGGAATGGATGAACAAGTTGTGGTATATGAAGGTAGTGGAATACTATTGTGCTATAAGAAATGATGAACAGCAGCACACATGAAATACCAGCACTAGGACCCCAGCTCAGCACTAAGTAAGCTGACAGACCCCTACAGCCTCCAGTTGACAGCACCTGAGGCCTCAGTACGCAAAGCCCATGGCCCCCAGAATAAAAACCTTGGGACAGTGCCCCCTGTACCTCAGAAAGCCAGGAAATAGGCAAACAAGATTAGCAAAAAGCAAAAATGAACACTTACTATACATTCTTTGCATGGAGACATGAAAATTAAAAAAAAAACCCTCAAAAGAGGACATTTTCAATAAACATACATTCAAAACGTCAAAAGAGAATATGAATTGATCTCAAACCCAAAAAGCCTTCTTGGAACAACTCAAGAAGGATTTTAAAAGTCAAATAAGAGAGGCAGAAGAAAAACTGGGAAAAGAAATGAAAGGTATGAGAGAGTCAACAGCTTGGAAAAATAAGGATGAAAATTGACTACAGAAAACAATTCCTTAAAATATACAATTGGCAGCTAAGATTCTCAAAATCTAACCACTGCTCAGATTCCTTAAGAACCTAGGCAATAGCTCACAAATGTTCAGATTCCTTAAGAGTCTGGCCAATATGGCAGATCTTTAATAAACCTTGTCTCTGGCTGAAAACAAAAACAAAAATACAATTGGCCAATTTGGGAAAAAAAAAATCCACTAAAGAAAACAACTCCAAAAAAAGTAGAACTGGCCAAATGGAAAAGGAAATACAAAGATGCACTAAAGAAAGGAACTCATTGAAAAGTACAATTGGCCAAATGGAAAAGGAGGTACAAAAGCTAACCTGAAGAAAGTAATTTGTTAAAAATTAAAAATTGGGCAAGTGGAAACTAATGACTTTATGGGACATCAAGAATCAGTCAAACAAAATCTGGAAAAATAGAAGAAAATGTAAAATACCTCATTGGAAAAACAACTGACATGGAAAATAGATCCAGGAGAGATAATTTAAGAATTATTGGTCTGCCCTGACAGCCATGATCAGAAAAAAACCCTGGACAACATCTTTCAAGAAATCATTGGGGCAGCTAGGTGGCGCCTTAAAAAGAAAAAACTTAAAAAAACTTAAAAAAAAAAAATTATCAAAAAAAAAAACCTGTCCTGAGGTCCCAGAACCAGAAGGTAAAATAATCATTGAAAGAATCCACCGAACACCTCCTGAAGGAGATCCCACAATAAAAATTCCAAGAAATATCGTCTCCAAATTCCAGAATTATCACGTCAAGGAGAAAATATGCAAGCAGCCAGAAAGAAACCATCTAAATATCATGAAACCACAGTCAGGATTTTGCAGGACCTAGCAGTTTTTACATTGAAGGATCAGAGGATCTGGAATATGATATTCCAGAAGGCAAATGACCTTGGACTGCAAACAAGAATTAACTACTCAGCAAAACTGAACCTAATGTTTCAGGGCAGGAGATGGACATTCAATGAAATAGAAGACTTCCAAATTTTCCTGATGAAAAATGCAGAGCTGAACAGAAAATCTGATCTTCAAATATAAGACTCAAGCATAAAAAGGTAAACAGGAAAGGGAAAAAAAAGTTATTTAGTAAGGTTTAACTGTTTACAACCCTACATGGGGGGGATGATACTTCTAACTCTTGAAAACTG